TCCAGTCCAACCCCCTGTTCTGGCAGGAAACCCTATACCATTTCGGACAAATGGCTGTCCAGTCTCTTCTTAAAAACTTCCAATGTTGGAGCATTCTGGAGGCAGGTGGTTCCACTGGTTAATTGTTCTCCCTGTCAGGAAGTTTCTCCTTAGTTCCAGGTTGCTTCTCTCCTTGATGAGTTTCCATCCGTTGCTTCTTCTCCTGCCTTCAGGCGCTTTGGAGAAGAGCTTGACTCCCTCTTCTTTGGGGCAGCCCCTGAGATATTGGAATACTGCTATCCTGTCCCCCCCTAGTTCTTCTTTTCTCTGGCCCAACCCAAATCCTGAAACCATTTTTCATAGGTTTGCGTCTCCAGGCCTTTAATCCTCTTTGTTGCTCTTCTCTGCACTTGTTTTCAGAACCTCAACCTCTTTTTTGTATCGTGGAGAACGACACTGACCAACAAAGGAAGAAGCAAAGCAAAGGGGGCTACCGTGGGCCTCCCTCCACCCCAGGAGGCTGGCGCTGGTGCCTGGAAGGACACTGCCCCCCCCCGTGGGCCACAAAGCCCCTCCCCAGCAGCCGAGGGGGAGATCCAGACCCCTCCACCAGCAGCTGAGAGACAGGGGCAGCAGCAACGCTCGTCCTCCACAGTCTGCGGGAGTTGGGGCCCTCCAGTGTCCGCAGGCTCCGGGCCCCGGATCCTCCCGAGGGCCCAGACTATCCCGAAGCGGCTCACCTCGGGGGTCCCCGGCCCCGTCTGGGGCTCATCCGAAAGGCGCTTCCGCTGCTGCCGCGTGGCGACCCCTCCCAGCGCCCAGGCGGCGCTCAGGGTGTTGCGGCGGGTGCTGGGGCCCTCGACGATCTGAGTGGGCAGCATGCTGGCCCGCCGGAGGGTCTCCTTGGGGTCTCCGGTCATCACCTCTTCGTCCGTGATGGTGGTCAGGAGCGGAGAGGGCTTTGGGGGGTGGGTGGGGAGGAGAGAAACCATCAAGGGGGGAAACGCACCACCCTTCAGCAGCAGTCCCCGGCCCCAACAGAGGGGTCTTTGGGCAGAGCTGCCAATCGCGGCCGCTACGAGTAGTCCTTGACTTACAACGGTTCATTTAGTGACCGGTCAAAGTTGCAACAGCCCCGGAAAAAGCGACTTGTGACCGTTTTTCACATCGACAACCGCTGTAGCGCCCCCTCCCAGGGTCATGTGATCCACGTTGCAATGCTTGGCAACTAGCTTACATTTATGACAGTCACAGTGTCCCCCGTGTGTGTGTTTGTGTGTGTGTCATGTGATCCCCTTTTGCGACAAGCCAAGTCAACGGAGGAAGCCGGATTCACTTAACAACCCTGTTCCTAACTTAACAACTGCAGGGATTCGTTTAACAACTGTGGGGCAAAACCCACTTAACCAATGTCTCACTTAGCCACAGAAACGTTGGGCTCAATTTTGGCCGTAAAGTCGAGGACTGCCTGTAAACAGATGCATGTGGGGGGGGGGAGGGAATGGAATGGAGAGTTTGCTCCCTTACGCAACCAAGGACACAATGAAAACTTGCTGTGAAACTGTCCGGGTCTTTCCCAGTTTTATGTCCAGATCTGAATAAATGTCTGAATAAACGTCTGATCTTTGTCTACGCCAGGGGTAGGCAACCTTGGCCCCTTCATGACTTGTGGACTTCAACTCCCAGAATTCCTGAGCCAGCATGAGGGAACTATGACCCCCTCATGACTCGGGGACTTCAACTCCCAGAATTCCTGAGCCAGCATGGGGAAAATTTTGGCCCCTTCATGAATTGTGGACTTCAACTCCCAGAATCCTGAGCCAGCATGAGGGAACTATGACCCCCTCATGACTCGTGGACTTCAACTCCCAGAATTCCTGAGCCAGCATGGGGGAAACTTTGGCCCTTTCATGACTCCTGGACTTCAACTCCCAGAATTCCTGAGCCAGCATGAGGGAAACTTTGGCCCCTTCACGAATTGTGGACTTCAACTCCCAGAATTCCTCAGCCAGCATGGGGAAAACTATGGCCCCTTCATGACTCGTGGACTTCAACTCCCAGAATTCCTCAGCCAGCAAGGGGGAAACTTTGGCCCCTTCATGACTCGTGGACTTCAACTCCCAGAATTCCTGAGCCAGCCTGGCTCAGCTTGGAAACCTCTCCCTTTCCCCTCAGCGTGGCTGGCTCAGGAATTCTGGGAGTTGAAGTCCACAAGTCATAAAAGAGCCACGGTTGCCTACCCCCGATCTACGCCACTCACCCGGGACTCCAGAGGGTAGCAGGTCTTCAGATGAGGCGGACACACCCGGTTGCGCTGCTGGAGTTCTGCAATGCGGTTCCAGCCGTCCACCTGGTCGGGCTCGTCGTCGCAGGAGCCGGTGTAGAAGCTGCTGCGGCCTGTGGGGGAGAGGGGGGGGGACAGGGGGGTCAGGCAGGGCGTTGACCGACAGGCTTCCCAAAGGGTGACAGATCCCGCTGGGAGTGAAGCAGGGGAGACAGGTCATTCGGTGCAACCCAGTCGGGGAACGGGACTGCGAGTCTGGGGGTGGCTATCTAGGGCAGGTTTCTGCAATTGTGTTTGTGGTGTGTGTTTGTATGTCCACCTGATCCCTGCAGCGGGAAGTCAAATCCCCAGGGCACCACTGTGCCTGTGCTTTAAGGTGTGCGGACTTCAACTCCCAGAATTCATCAGGGCTGGCTGGGGAGCTCTGGGGATTGAAGTCCACGCATCTTAAAAGCAACCGAGGTTGTAAAAAAACAGATTTAGATGGTTCTGATGGGGCATTTGGATAAAGCCGGGCAGGGGGTCTTCCAACTTGGCCCTTGGATGACTTGTGGACTTCAACTCCCAGAATTCCTCAGCCAGCGCGCCTGGCTGAGGAATTCTGGGAGTTGAGGTCCAGGGGTCTTCCAACTTGGCCTTTTGATGACTTGTGGACTTCAACTCCCAGAATTCCTCAGCCAGCGTGCCTGGCTGAGGAATTCTGGGAGTTGAAGTCCAGGGGGTCTTTCAACTTGGCCCTTTGATGACTTGTGGACTTCAACTCCCAGAATTCCTCAGCCAGCGTGCCTGGCTGAGGAATTCTGGGAGTTGAAGTCCAGGGGTCTTCCAACTTGGCCCTTGGATGACTTGTGGACTTCAACTCCCAGAATTCCTCAGCCAGCGTGCCTGGCTGAGGAATTCTGGGAGTTGAAGTCCAGGGGTCTTCCAACTTGGCCCTTAGATGACTTGTGGACTTCAACTCCCAGAATTCCTCAGCCAGCAACGCTGGCTGAGGAATTCTGGGAGTTGAAGTCCACAAGTCATCTAAGGGCCAAGTTGGAAGANTTGGTGCTCTCTGAGCTGGGCTGTCTTCTTCCTGAGTGTGGTTTCCTCTCCGTTGACATGCAACTCGCTTGCTTGCAGAGAGCCAACCCTGATGAAGCTACCTAGTCGGGTCACGAAACGTCTGCAAGAAAACCTCCCAACCTCACAGAGGACCCACCAGGAGCCACAAACCTCCTCTTGTGTGGAAACCCAACTAGCCAGAAATCCTAGCTGTGCTGCGGGAACCCCGGATTGGAGCGCGAGGGCTGACCTTACCCGGAACACCATTAAATCCGTAAAAGGAACAGCCCCCCCCCCCCAATGGTGGAGCTCGGATCGAAGACGGAAGACCTGGGATGCGGGCTCTGTCCTCTGGGAGACCCAAAGGACCAGTGAGGCATGGAGAACATCTACCTGTGTGGTCACTAAAGAACTGACCACCGGCCGATGGCAAGAACCACTCGGTTTTCTGGGCGAGGATTTACGTTTTGGGGCTCCAACGCAAAGTAAGAAAGCTTCTCCAGCTGAAATAGCTCCCATTTTTACTCTCTGGGTTCTCACAAGTCCTTCGATTATGCTCTGCTCCAGCGGTGTCCAACTTTGGCCACTTTGTAAGACTTGTGGACTTCAACTCCCAGAATTCGCTGGGAGTTGAAGTCCACATGCGCTGGCTGGGGAATTCTGGGAGTTGAAGTCCACAAGTCTTAAAGTGGCCATGCCTGGGGACCCCTGCTGATTGAACAGAGGAGGAGGGAATCCTTTTATGAGTCTGGGGTCCCCTGGGGACCCACAACCACTTTGCCCCCACCTCCCCCTGCTCCTGCAAGCCCCCAGAAGACCCCCACCTGCTTGTCCGCTGGCTGGGCTTTGCTCTTCTTGTCTCCCGCCAGGGCCCTCTGCTTGCGATCCTCGGTCCTCTCTTTGGGGGTCTGGGGCCGGGGGAAGCACGTGGAGGACTTCTTGAGCTACAGAAAGAACAGAGGGGGGAAGAGATGGGATTTCAAAAGCTCCAGCTGAGAAGACAAAAGCCTCCCTCCTTCTCTGGACGGCTAATTACAGAATTAAAGAATGCCGGAGTTGGAAGGGACCTTGGAGGTCATCCAGTCCAACCCCCTGTTCTGGCAGGAAACCCTATACCATTTCGGACAAATGGCTGTCCAGTCTCTTCTTAAAAACTTCCAATGTTGGAGCATTCTGGAGGCAGGTGGTTCCACTGGTTAATTGTTCTCCCTGTCAGGAAGTTTCTCCTTAGTTCCAGGTTGCTTCTCTCCTTGATGAGTTTCCATCCGTTGCTTCTT